GGAGTATGTCGCCGGCCGTTATTTTCCAGAGGGCGCCGCGGAACTTGCCGTTTTGAGGTATGCCAAACGTTGCCGCTAGATAGCACCCTGCGGATTTAGATATTTCAATAATAGCGAATTTTCAATCACAACACCGCTATCCGCTAACAGGGGGCGCCTTCGAGGAACTGTGATTACAGACGGTGTTGTTGTTAGAGCATAATTGCGCTAAATGTGCACTGCACATCATAATACAAATATTAAAAAGGATTGCATTTTATCATTACGGGTATATTCCACTTAAATTTTAATTGTATTTGACGTATGTTAGATTACTTACTTAATACTTAATTGCAATGAAATGGTAACGAGTAGACAAAGATGAAGAATGTACCTGCCCAACCATTGTATAAAGTAAACAAGTAATTAGACTAATTTATTAGTCATTGTGATGAACCCCGCGAGGGTCTTCCTGAAAAAAAATATTGTAACTTTTCTGTGTCTTACTGTAAAGTTTATAACCTGTAATTAAACATCTCATATACAAAACTTTTTTTTCTAATTGCAACATGTCAGGAAACAACATACAATATCGTAAAACTTTCAAATTTTGTCATGCAACCGACGACATGCCGATATTGGCCGAGCGTCGCTTACGTCACTACGCAAGTTGCCGATCGGGAATTATATTAGTGCATGACACCGATAGGAGTTCGATTCGACTTATTATGGCAATCTTCCATAAACTGAGTTCTGACTGGTTCGTAAAGGGGCAGTTAGATGGTCTGCCAAAGGTTGAAGTGTTAATGGTCGGCGCCTTTTTCTCGAAAAGTGAGTTTTTCCATGCCACTCGTTTGGGTGGAGTCAAAGCCCAGAAGCAAATCTGTTATGGTTCATAGGAAGTGTAACATCAAGTTATGTGTGTATAGTGCAAGGTATAGTGTAGGTACCTAATAAAGTATGCACCTTACGGATTTCAACGAGAAAATTAGGGTGTTGGATATGTGGAAGTGAAAATAGAGAAAAATATGTGCACTGTAAGGGCACAGATAAGCCCAGAACAGAGTTCGAAGTAAATCATATTCTGAATTGCAATTATAATATTACATATCGATGGATTTTCGTCGATAACTGACTGAAAGTAAATCGACATTATGTACTTTAATTAATTAGAATCGTCTTCACAACAATACAAATGGGATGTCAAACTCGCGGTATCACGTCGAACTTTTTTCGTATATTTCCTGTTGGGACGTTTATATACAATTTATTAGGTTCGCGATGACTTCTGCTATCACACCCAGGCACAAATGCAATAATTATTCGACGCTTTTTTCCGTCAAAACGACGTTTTCTTTCTCTGAATCGATTGTAAGCAGAGACTTGCTATAACTAGACTGCGCTTAACGTATCTAAGGTGTTGTCGACACAGTATGCAACACACAATGCACCGCGGGGCAAAAATCGCTGAGATGATATGCAATACATTATATTGCAATAAGCTGTTATTTTAGATGTTCCGTTCATTAATCATTCTCGTGATTAGCTCGAATTAGTGAACAGATAAATTTCTGTTGAGAATAAACCAATAAACTTAGGTTAACTTGTGCCTATCAACATGTACTCTGTCGATAAATTTTTAAATAATATGCTGATTTTCAACGGAGAAAGGTTTAAAGGGCCAATGGATCAGAGCCATTCGAAGCGAAAAATTTACTCCCACCATAGTGCATTTGCGGGGAATGAAGCCGATTTTAGAAAGGTACCTACAAAGGTGTTAAACAATAATGCAATACCGAGCATTTTCGACTTTCCCATTCACTTAAAATAACGTAGAACTATTATTCGACATCCTTTACCAGCAAGACAACGGCAATACCTATTTGCCTATTAGGTATAGACGTAACTAAGTACTTAATGGTACTAAGTATATTTCAGGTTTTGTTACAAGAAAAATAGCTTAGTCTGTTAAATGTTCCATATGTACAGATGCGACATTCGCATCAGAGAATCATTCAAAGCTTTTAACTAGAAAAAATCGTGGAGGATTGTTGCACGTATCAAGCGATGCATTAAAAATTGCCAAATTGCTGAAAATGTGTTCAGGTTTTTCATTCAATCCACACCACACCGCGTTGTAAACAAAATGGTTATCAGCAGTCTAAGAAAAATAAATAACAGTTACAGCCCATTTGGGTTTTTGGATAACCATATATTGAATCAAAATCCGCTAAATAATCATATCTTACTACTTACATCTTTAGTTTTAAGAGTATATTTTCCCATGCGTGTTCACCACCAAAATACACATATAAATCAAATTAGGACTAGAGTAAGGCAGTTATATACCAATTTAGTTCAAATAAAATACCAATAAATTCGATTAAAACAGTTAACAGCTATATGTTATGTTTTTTTGCTACTAAAATTTAGAATAAATGGCTAAAGCAAGCTGCAGAACGTACGTCTGCCCCGCGATGAACAGTTGGTTGCCTATCCTATCTTGACAACAGGCGTTTATAGTAAAATCTACGTTACGCGCGGTCTAGTTATAACAAGTCTCTGATTGTAAGCAATGCTACGGCTGAGCGCCAACGTGCGTAGCGACGTCACAGCAACGTGGCGGTCATTCGAAACTTTTCAAACGCCGTTCATTTTAAAATCGTGTTTGCTAATCACAACGATTTCTCTTGACAAAAAAATGAGTACCACTAATTTTTTTAATGTGCTTGGAGTTCATTTTCAAGGTTTTTGAAAAAACGCGGAAAACCCAATTCAAGCACAAACTTTTTTGTGAAAATCACTTTGCGGAAACTGATTTTAAAACCCATCTTAAAATCCGACTGAAATCTGATACTATACCAATACCATATGTGGCTACAGATCAATCTGCATCTAGTCCAATTTGAAGATTTTAACGCCGAAGAAAACCTATTCAAAGCTGACCCGAGAATGCAATAATGAAATATGTGAAGATATTCAATTTTCTAACGAGGCCAATGTTTTTTTGGATGCAATTACTAATATGCCTTCGTCATCTCTAAAACGCAAATTATTTAGTGCTTCTGAAGATTCTCCTAGAGAAAAGAAGTTAAAGATTTCATTACAAACATACAAAAATCATTTTAAGAACCACACACGAAAAATATCTAGATTATGTAAGAAAGTTCAGTCGCTGCAAGAAAAGGGAAAAATTGAAAATATATTTTCATCATTTCGCTTTCCATCTACCAATTCCAAAACCATCGCAAAAATGCAAGCGAAAAAAATTGTTCTTTGGCGTTGTATTACAAATCTTCTACGGCATATAAATTCTTACGACGGCAAGGAGTAATATTGCCAGCTCCATCAACTATTCGAACGTGGCTTGGAAAATCGAAGTTTAGACCTGGCTTTAATGTAATGTATTTTAAACAAATTGCAAAAAAAAAATGTTTTTGCTTCTGATGAGGAAAAAACCTGTTCTGTGTCTTTTGATGAAATGTCCATTATGGAGAAACTTGAATACAATAAATACATGATTTGGTAGAAGGATTTGAAGATTTTGGCCAACTACAACCAGATTTCGAACAATCAAATCGTACCAAAAACACTGCAAAGTGCGCTTTGGTGTTTTTGGCACGGGGAATTTACTCGCCGTGGAAGGTTCCCATTGCTTACTTCCTGTCCCATTCATCCGGGATCATTTTCCCTGCATTATTTCCTAACATGGATGTTTCAATTTTTATATTAAATTACATTATGTATATCTGTAGATAGGTAAGTATAATTTTGTTTTATTTCAGGAACTATGCCGAAGAATTATATAAGAAAAACTACGCGCCAAAATTGGAGCGAACTCTCAATGATCAACGCATTAGATGCTGTAAAAAATGGCATGCAGTATAAAACAGCGAGTAAACAATTCTCCGTGCCGATTATGGCTTTAAAAAGACGAGCTAAGGGAAAAAACCTTTGTCAGCCCCCAGGTCAGTTACAAACAAGATCAGGGAGAGCGGTTAAGTTCCCAGCGAAGTTTAACGAGTTTGTTACCGCTACGCTGGAGGAGAAGTACTGTGGCGACCGCCGGAGACTACGCAACAACGTCGTCTGATTGGGCCGCGCGGTCAGCCACTAGCGTGCAAGCCCGACCATTTAAATACCCGCCACAGGCGAGCACAAAGTAGTAGTTTTCGATCGCGCTTCGCTTCAACTTCATCTTCCGATCCAGCCGACCTGCAGTCAGCACCAGCCACACCGCCGCTTAAGCCTATGTCACATTATCAAACAGTTTGACAAACTGGTTTGATCAAACTCGACTAGTGACGTCACCGATGCAGTTTGAGCAAACTTCCTATTTTTTAGAAGTGCCTCTATTTCAATCAGTCAGTTTGATGTGAGCTGTGCTGTAATTGGTTAGTTCAAGTAAGTTAAAAACGGCGCGAACGAATTGATTTCCGACGACGACCTACATAACCTGATTGTGTTGATTATTAGCTGCAACAAGTACTTTTTCGTTATTGTTAATTTGAAATGACACCTGGATGGAGCAAAGAACAAGTGTCCTTTTTGATTGATTTATACCAGGATAGAGACGGTCTCTATAACGTTAAAATGCCAATGTACCACAATAAACAAGGCAGGGGCACTTGAGGAAATTGTGAGAAGTATGCAGGAAGTTCGACCAAAAATAACAAGTATGTGATTGTTTATAACTATAGTAAATGTATTTTATCATTGATTGTATTTTATATTTAGCCAATGATGTTAAAACAAAAATTAATTCTTTGCGGACACAATTTAACAAAGAAATCGGTAAACTACGAGGCAAGCGGCAAGCCCAGTGGTGCTGGAGCAGAGGTTGTTAAAGTAAATTTGAACAATTGCTGTTCTTGGCAGACCATTATAGAGAAGGAAGACGAAAACTTAGACAATACTCTAATACCAGAAGTAAGTTCATTTAGTAAATATTTAATTTAGATATGTCATAACTTAAGTAATTAATTACATAACATGATTATTAACAGAATCTTGTTGCCATGCTACTGCTCCATTGGTGTTAAAATATTCTTGGTATACTAAACGAATTTGTTGTGATGTTGTAGCGGTTCGATTTCCTCCTTGCCGTACCACATTCTGTAAATGACACGTTACATCTTCAATATTGGAAATGTATTTGGGTGATACGGTAATTAAATAATTATGTAAAATGCAACACACTTTCGTAATCATTTCTACTTTTTCGACATTTACAAGTACATTCATTGTATGTAACAAAATCCGAAATTTGTTATTTAATATACCGAATGCATTTTCGACAACTCTTCGAGATCGGCAAATTCGGTAATTAAATATACGTTGCTCATTGGAAAGACCGTGAAGTTTGTATGGTTTCATGATGTTTTGCTTCAGTGGGGAAGCATCATCTGCCACAAACACATGTGGGATTTCTTTATTTCTTCCTGGCAAAGCTTGAGGAGGTGGAAAGTTCAGCGTATCAGTATTAATTGCATATGCCAAAGGGCTCCTTTGAAATATACCTCCATCACTTATTCTGCCATTTCTGCCTATGTCACTTATTAAAAATTTATAATCTTCATCACTACAGCTAAAAGAACAATACTATCTGTTCCTTTATAATTGTGAAAAAAGGATCGAAATGTGGTATGTTTTCTGTCCATCGCTTCCAAGCAGTTTGGATAATTCCAGTTTTCGTAAAATTTGTCCGATACTGCTTTCCATTCTTCTTGCGTCTGTGGGGCCTCTAAGGACGGGGGTTACACGCTCAGTTTGGAATCAGTTCAGTCCGTGATTGTGGTCAGAATGTTGTCAGACTTCGCGTGTAATGCGTTGACTGATGGACTGATAAACCAGACTGATCGATATTTAAATATTTTAATAATTACTGTCAGTCTGTCGAGGATTGACGACAGATTGATCGTGTATTGCGCACAAATCAGTCTCAAATCAGTTACCTTCCGGTCAGCAATGGAGGTGCACGTGGACGACTCGCAAACGCAGCCGTTGGAGGTCGAGAAAGATTTTATTATAACGTTTGAAACCATGCCAATCCTATGGGATAAAACGGACAAAGATTACGTTAACAAATATAAGAGAAATGAAGCTCTGGAAAAGCTGTTGGTCATATATAAAAAAATAAAACCTCAGGTTACCTTGGATGATGTCAAAAAGAAGATAAATACATTAAGATCAAATTACCGTCGTGAACTAAAAAAAATAGAATCATCGCGAAGGTCAGGGGCTGGAGGGAATGATATATATACCCCAAAAAGTTGGACGTTTGAATATCTTCATTTTTTGGGCAAATTTGAGAAACCTCAGGTAAGAATTGCATTCTTTTCTTTTTGCAATAGATAGTAATAATAATAAGTGATAATATATAAGGTCGTGGAGTAATAATAATAACATTAACGTCATTAATATGTAATTTATTTCCTTGACAAATTTACATTGTATGGAATTTGTTCGTTTGATTCAGAAAATTATTAGCAAAAGTAAAGTAAAAGTAGTAAAATTCTGGTTGGTAATTCTGAGAACAATAACTTAATCGCTTTTGCGAAAATGAAATTTACCTTCATTATTAAAGTAATGACAAAATTTTTCTCTTATTGTTTTCGCATCACTTGTTGAATTTCGAATGCTAGCTGGCTCCAAATCACGTAATGCAGTATTATCTGCGTTTGTGATTCTCCAGTTTGATGCTAAATAAAGCCTTGGCTGTGTTTTCATCAAGTAATTGTGTAAATAACAGCTCGCTGCTACTATAGTTGCAGCCTTTTTGGGCTCGAAACATATTGCTTTGTGGAAAATTCCAAATTTTGATCTGAGTATCCCAAAGGCACCTTCTACAACTGATCTAGCACGTGATAATCGATAATTGAATGTTTTTCGCTCATTATTGCACGCATTCTGTGGGTAGGGCTTCATTAAATGTTTTCCGAGCGCAAAAGCTTCATCTGATATGAAAACGTAAGGAAATGGTTCTTCTATATTTGGCAGAGGCGCTGGATCTGGTATATTTAAGTCACTTCTTTGATACAGCTCCCAGAATTTAGTATAGAATAGTACCCCACCATCGGATATTCGGCCATTAGCACCAACATCTATCATGATAAATTGTTTCTTGGAGTTAACTAACGCCATGAGAACTATGCTGAAATGACCTTTGTAGTTGCGGTATAATGCTCCAGAATGTGCCGGTTTTTGAACTGCAACGTGCTTGCCGTCCAAAGCCCCTAAGCAGTTCCAAAACTGATATGTTTCCCCAAAATCAGAAGCAATCTCTTTCCAATCTTCCTCTGTCATTGGCATCTGCAAAATTAAATGTATACTGTTTTTTTAAGATTCTCGATACTGATGGAGATGATAATGCAGATGGACCTAGTCCAGACCTAACACAACCACAAGAACAGGAGAGAATGGAATCGCAAAGAAGCGTTTCATCCATTTCCTCTGCAAACACAGTGATGCCGCCACCGCCTGCGAAGAAAGCGAAGAAAACCATGCTTGCAAAGCAAAATGAGTTATTAGATCGGGCATGTGCATATTTATCTGAACCCAACAGTAGCAGTAGTGGTGCTAACTCACTTGCATGTCATTGGGCAGAAACTTTAGACCGACTTGATCCAACTCAAAGATTGTATGCTAAAAAGGCAATCAACGATGTGCTATTTGAAGCGGAATTAGGAAATTTACATAGACATGCGGTTCAAATTAATACAGCCACATATATGCCTTATTTGCGCTCACCTCGGATATCTCAGCATTCACCTCAGCCTTCTCCCCACTCATCTCAACCATCACCCCCACCTCCACATTCACCTCAATCATCTCCGTACTCACCTCAACCTTCTCCGGACTCATCTCAACCATCTCCGCACCTATCTCAACCATTTCCACACTCATCTCAGTCACCTGCTACCAACGTGTTAACACCTCTTTCATCCCCTTCTCTCGCACTTGAATTTGAAACACAAGATTATCATCCTACATACTCCAATATTGGGTCACTATTTACTGACTTTACAGGAAATTAGTAAATAATTGCATTATGTTACTTTTTGGTTGAGATACTTTTCTCGTTTTGTACCCACTTGACATTTTTGAGTTTGTGTTTTTTAAGTTTTGTAAGAAAAGTATATGCTGTAAAAAATGTGCGTAATCTTTTATTAGACTTACCTTTATGTAAGATTGAAGAACATAAAGCAGCGCTTGACATGTGTCCATTATTGCCTTACTGATAGCAGCTGGTGACATTATAACCGAGAATTTTAAATCTTGAATGTTCCTACCGGTAGCAAGGTACCTTAAAGTGACAGCCAATCTCTCTTCCGCACTTATCGCCTTCCTCATAATCGTATCTTTTTTCGTCAAATATGGCTTCACCATTTCCAACAAGTCGTCAAAGCAGGCCTCTTTCATTCGAAAATAATTTGCGTAGTCTTCCTCTTCTTCTGCGTTTCTTATTTCAGTCAACAACTTCAAATGCGTATACTGATCTCTTTTCAGTAGCCACTCTTTAGTCCACCGTTTCCTAATGCGACGTTTTGTTGCACTCACAGCAATTATTATTGCAATAGCAGCTTTTTTTTTACGAATATCCATAGTTTTTAACACGGAATATGTGTTTATTCTAGCCCGTTCTCAATTAGACTGATATCAGTCTGAATGATCATGTAACCATTGAAGGGAGTCCATCAGTTTGCGATCAGTCAATTCCTGATCAAGGTCATGGACTGAACTGATTCCAAACTGAGCGTGTAAAGCGTGTAACCCCCGTCTAGCTTCGTCCAAAAATAATACCTTCGCATAAATCAATGACTATCTATGGAAAATTTGAGAAACGATTACCCTTAGCTCCCTAGCGATCAAAGTTTAAAATGAACACACTTTTTCCAAACGTTGGAAACAAACTAAAAACCACGTGAGCGAAAAATGAGTAGGTATAGGTAACGATTTTTCTGGGAACATGAAGAAAATGCGCAATGAACGATTTACCGATAAAAATTTCTGTTCCTAGATGCTAAAGTATGGTTAAAATAAATCACATCAGCATCCAGAATGAAGTCGGGAATTTACGGGATAAATAACAAGGGACCGATGCGATATATCAAGCGCCTTTCTGATACTGTAACAAGTAAGATGTTTGCCCTTCAGTATATCGATTTCGGCACGGGCACCAGCAGTAGACCAAATTAGCGTGAATTTATAAAGTCAATTCTTGATTAAGGTTAAACGACAACTACTGGAAGAATCTCGCCCTTTAAAAAAGCAATGGGGTGCTGTTCTTCTGATTAAATTTTAATTAAATTTAGAATATCGTCGCTTGCAACAGGTGGCAAGTAGGGTCGGCGTTATTTGTAAGGGATCGATGCATTAGCCTTTTGACTAAATCAACATTTGCAGGCACGAAGTGCTGGAATAATGTTAGTTCAGGGATGCTGGATGTCATCATGTTAAAGGGACGATTTTCTTTTTTTAGAACGGCACTTATGGTTGCTCCTCCTTGTGCCCTCAAGAGCGCATATCTCCAAAAGGAACATGTAAGCACCCACGACTGGTGGACGTCCCCGGACAGTGCTGTCGTGAGTGGATGTGCGACAGCCAAACAGGTAACATACACACTTTGTCAATGTTATAAAATAGGCCTGTGTGTTTAGTAGAAGAACCACCATCTTGCCAGCCAATCTTTTCGAAATGGTCAACGTGCAGCAGCGATTGCGGCGCCGGATTGTCGAGCAGAAGATCGAACCTGAACGCGAAATGTGAGCCGTCTACGGAAACGAGAATATGTCAGACGAGACGTTGTGACGATTTCACGCCCGATGTCGTCCACAGAAATGAACACCACGTTAGGGTAATTAGAGCACCAATTTTCTTAAAAAATACGAGATCAGGTTGTCAAAGTCATCATCACGTGGTATCAGTAAAATTTCACGTCCCAAATGAGATGAGAAGCTGTTACGATCTGGGGTAGTGTTCTAAGGGTTTAAAAATGTCGTAACTCGGGCTCCTGTGAGCACTTACATACCTTTAAGTAAGTTTTACGACTACTCCGACTGATTTATGGCTTAATTATTTATGGCGTTGCGGTTTTTTACTTTCAAATACGAATGTAATTAAGTGCCCCATTCATATTAATTAAAATAAATTTAAAAAGAATCAACTTACACCTTCTATTCGGATCATAAGAACCTTCTCTAGATTTCTAATATTCCTAATCTTAATTTGACCTCTATTATGTAAATGTAGGCTTAGTGGTAATGTACGGTTCCAACATTAATTTCTGGAAAATCGGACTCGCATCCATCCTGAATAGGCAATCCAGCTCCGTACAAATAAAAAGCTCTTCAAATTCACAGTAAGTAGTCAATTATTGACTGCCTTTGAATTCGACATACTAAAACCAAGTTAGTAGAAATTGAAAACTACTACCAGTTGAAATATTTAGACGTAACTAAACTCTACGGAAGCCAAATGACTCATCTTAAAAGTTAATTTATTTTGAGCAGTGCTGCCGTATTTGACATTGTCATGAAAGTTATTTGGGAACTTATTTGCTATTCAACCGTAATCCGTAAATTTCGAATTTCAGTTATAAGTTTGCGCTCCAAATGTATTCCATTAGGAACAAAATAGTCGGAAATGGGGTTTCAGTCCCGAGGACACTAACAGATTTTGTATAAGAATTGAATTTTCAATTTAAAGTTCAATTTACCGATAGCAGCCCCAGGGCTGGGATTATCGATTTGTCTTAATTTGTGTCTAAGATGTTTCATTTTTCCAGAGGGGACACGAGTGTAAAGCGACGCATCGCATTGGCACACCAGTAACGCTTCGATTTGGTCCGTGTAGAAGCCGGAAGCGTTACAAACCCAAATATTGCGGGTTTTGCTCAATTCCAGGGGTGTCGTGCGAGTCGCTGCTGAGTACGACGGTTCGAATAGAATTCTTCTGTCGAGGTTCGCCATCACTGTCGACGGAGAACCTTCCGGAACTGCTTCCCGAGTTCTTAGAGCCCGGTGAGGATATGTGGACGGATGAGTCGTCGTCGAGGAAAGATCCTCATATGAAAATTTTAACAGTGTCAGTGCAGTGGATACTCAAGTGTAGATGTCAGAGAATTCCGATGACTCCCACTTTAAGCACTGGTGAAATAATATTACATCGCGTACATCGAACAGCGGCGCCTTAAAGGTTCTTTGCGTAATCAAGGCACGGCATATCAATACTTCCGTAGAACGAAGAGAAGTGGTGTTTGATAGACGGTGACAGTTTTCGTGGCACTTAACTTACAGAAGCAGGTGCGGTTATCTGTGCCTTTTGTGTAATGCGATTCGAGAGTAACTGATAAGACGAGAAATATGTAGACTTTAGTATTATTGCTTTTAGGCTTTAGAACGCAATGTTGATGGCCGAGGGCTCAGTGGTGTGAGTTGGAGGAATATTTCTTTTCTTGTGTGCCTCCAGTAGAGGGAGCGAGCATGCTTTAAATTTTACACACCCTAAGTGCACCTTCCAACAAGAGTAATCGCATTAAGATGAATGCTAGAAGAAAAGCACCATCCGGCTGTGAGGCCGAGATAATAAAAATGTATTTTAGATGTGTAGGTACATACATTGCTTATTTTATTAACTCGAATGGGACGTTCAAGTTACACTAGGTATACATAATGTTACTTATGAATTATTCGCGGTTGATATAGTAATCGATTGTACATATTAATATACTTAATAGAGCCGACAAATGATTCGTGTTTTAGTAAACAGTTTGAATGAAATTGTTGCAAATAAACAAATACCTATCGTAACCAGTAACAATAGAGGATGAATTAAAATTACTTGAAATTGTTGTCCCAAAGAGGTGGTTGATGAGGGTATGTACTGAATACAGTATGTGGGTACCTACTCTCGTGTAGAAACAAATTCGAGGAACCGATAAATTGTCTCAATAGCATACTAATAATTAGTGTTGTAGTATGCTATTCCTATTTGTTGATTGTGCCAAAGATGTATAAAAGATTCAACGTCTATAATTTGCTCGATATTGTTCCCTATTGGTTGATTGCGTAATTTCAAAAAAAGGAACAGACGTAAAACTTGCTGATTATTTCAATTTTACATCGAAAACACATGTTTGCTATGGTTCAGAGACTTGGAGAGAAAAAAATGTGATAATTCTGTATCAAAGATCAGCATCCATTCATTTCATAATGCTTATTTGCGCTTCGTAAAAGTTTAGAAAATGAAGCACAAACTCTTTCGACCACGTCAGTGGCCAGTTGCTCCCAAACTGAACTCTAAAATATTGAAATCGCGGAATCGTTTACAAATGGGGATAACTCGACCTGTTCGGTTAAATTGACAGAAGTAACGTATTACATCATTACAGTCCCAAATGCTGTTCGCTGTTGTTATTGTTATTTTAATTCCAAGTGTTACCAATGGCAATTTTTGGAAAATTCGCGAATCGCTTATAGCGCAAGAGCGAAACCGTATGCTAGGTGCATCAATTGTATTAAATGGGAAAGAAGAAAAGGCCAACAACCTGTTAATGTCCTACAAACTGCAGGAGCTCGATGTGGCTTACCATAATCCGGAAAATTTCGCACCGAGTAAGTATTTCGTGAGAGCTCGTGCTCAGATTGAAAGCTCGCCAGTGTTCAAGCTAATTAAAACAATGCCAAAAGGTGGTGCGCTACATGGGCACAGTACGGCACTAGCCACTCCCGATTTTCTGTACTCCCTCACTTACAGAGATAACCTGTTTGTTTGTATGCAGGGTGGCACATTCCAGTTACGATTTATGCAGTACCCAGACGCGAAGTGCAAATGGACACTCATCAGCACTTTAAGGGGAATAGATGCGAATTTTGATGAGTGGTTGCGTTCACAATTTACAATGTACCACGAGAATGATATCGACATATACAAAAACAAGACCCAAATTTGGTTGGTGTTTGAGAAAACTTTTTCGGCTATTAAGGGGTTGGTAACTTACAGACCCATTTTTGAAGAATATTTTTACGAAGTCCTCAGGCTACTTTTTGAGGATAACGTAATGTATTTAGAATTTCGAAGTACACTACCTGAAATGTACGAGCTTAACGGATCTACGTACAAATCGGAGGATACGGTGCGATTTTACGATGATGTCATTGAAAAATTCAAGCGTACGCATCCAAAATTTGTGGGCGCACGCCTTATTTACGCCCCTGATCGAGACAACAATAATCAAACATTTAACAATATCGCCTCTATCCTCCTCAATGTGAAGGTCGGCCACCCAAAGATTTTGGCGGGCTTTGATTTGGTCGGCCAGGAAGATCTTGGAGCGCCTCTACTGTCATACTTGTGGGAGGTGAAGAGGATTGCAAAGTTAGGTATCGACGTCTATTTTCACGCCGGTGAGACAAACTGGTATCAAAGTAACAGCGATTATAATGTAATTGACGCCATTCTGTTGGGCTCGAAGCGTATCGGTCACGCGTTGGGCTTAATCAAGCATCCGGTTGCATTGGAAATGATCAAGGAAAGAAATATCGCCATTGAAGTATGCCCAATCTCGAACCAAATGCTTTTGTACGTCGACGATCTGCGGAATCATCCGGCGTCATTTCTAATTGCGAATGGATTTCCAATTGTAATAAGCTACGATGATCCCAGCCTTTGGAACGTTACGGGATTAAGTTATGATTTCTACATTACATTTATGGCAATAGCCGGAAGAACGGCCGAT